GTACTATTTAATAAAAAAAGGGTTGTACTTGTTATGTTATGTCCTATCCCTGTCTCTTAGTTATGGGTTTTCACCTACTAGGGTCTTAAAATTACACGAATCCAAACTAGCAGGATTTAAATGAACGAACAAAGGTTTTGTTGCAAGCATAACAAAGTAACAAACAATAAGCCATTAATTAAGGAGGGAACACACGAATCAGGCGACAAGAAATCAGAAGGATCCTAAAGCCATAATCGTCAACCATTCAATAAAAGCACACTAGTGATCAGCATAGTGTGTAGGTTCTTTTTTTCCTTTCTAATAATCCGGGCATGCTTTTATCCGCTGACGGACCTACATGGTTGCTAATGTTTGTAAGTACAGACAAATTTTTTTTTTCAACATATCAATGTGTATCATCAAAACCTTACATATTGAACGAAACAAATTGATTATGTCTGATACACAATCTATGATACAATGCACATAATAGCTTTCTATGTGGCAAATCAATTAGCAGCTAGCAGTAAAAGTGAGTTGGATTGGGCCGAGTTTTGTCCCGAAAAATTTAAATTTATATCAAAAAATTTCAATTTGACCTGGTCCGATAGCATAATACAAGTCTAATTGTTAGTTTGGCCTGTCCCATTTATATATATATAAAAAAAAACAAATGACCTCACCTGATCCGTTAGTCTGTTAATTTTTAACTTCCAAGTAGAACATTAATCAACTTCACAAAATACTCAAATTTTGTTGTTAAAACAAAAACTACAATTTCAACATTCAAACAAAATCATTAATTACAACAACAACTTATCACAATCTGCATTTAAATCACTTTCAAAAGCAAGATACTCAAACTAAATAACATATATTTCACCAGATCTAACAAATCAATTCATATTATATAAACTAAAATAACTGCATAAATCCAATATCACGATGCTTGTAGTAGCCAAAAACTTCTCATTATCTTATCTCCCTTGCAAATATAATTACAAGATTACATAAGTTAACAAATAATTTGTAAATGTAGAAAACAAAAAACACGATTAAAAATAGAAAAAAAAGATTAAAAACTAAAAACTTTTTTATACCTTTTATTTTTTTTAAGACATACTTATTACGTAGCCAATCTCCACCATATATTAAAGCTTGTATGGTATTTTCAGACAAATTAGAACGTTAGGCATATCAATAACTCTTCCTCCAACATTAAACGTTGATTCTGATAGTACTGTAGAGATTGATACAGATCTTATGTCACCCTTAAAGGTAGTATTGGTAGGGAATCAAACTTAGATCCTTCTACTACCTACTCAGTTCACATGCACCAACTAAATTATTATCATTTGGTACTACTATGAATACTATTATTTTATTTTATTTAAAATAAATAATATGATATAGGTCGGTCGGTAGGATTACAGGTCTGACATGTAAAAAAAAAACCTATAATCTGCTTTCCAAATAGCCTTTTTTAAAAGCTCAGACATATTCTATTTGATTATATATAATAGGCCAAGACTGACTTAATATAGACTAGATCTTAGATCTTTGTAGGCCGACCCAATCCACTTTCACTCATATTAGCATGTATAACCTATCTTATATAGCCTAGAGATAGTAGCCCAAATTAGGGGTGTGCATGAAGTGGTTCGGTTCGGTTATTGTCAAAAATCAAACCCAACCAGTTTTAAATGGTTTGGATTTAAAACCGAACCACTTTTTTTTTAAAAAAACCGGTTTTTAATTTGCCCAAAACGGTTTAAAACCGGTTTTTGGTTTATAACCGGTTTTGAATTAAAACCGGTTTAAACTGGTTTTAATTCAAAACCGGTTTTAAATCAAAACCGGTTATGAACCATAAACCGGTTATGAACCATAAACCGGTTATCAAGTTCAAAATCGGTTTTTTAACAAATTCAAAATCGATTTTTGATGGATTGTGCTATTTTTATAAGTAGTCGTTTGTTTCTCCTGGTTATAGGTAGTTGACCAACTATTTCTTGCAAGAATCTTCATTGTTTTGGAACTCTCAGGACGAAATAATTCTTATAGAAATTGTTCACGTTGTTTTTACGGAAAACATTTCCATCAAAATTTTCCGCAAAATTTTTTGAGAAAAAATATTTCCATCAAAATGTGACTAAAAACATATCTGTAAAAAAATTTGACGGAAAATTTTTTTTGTCGAATTTTTTTACGGAATATAAATTTTGTCAAAACATTTCCCTCAAAATATTTCACAAAAAAACATATTCACCGAAATTTTTGACGAAAAAATATTTCTATCAAAATTTTCCACGAAACACATTTCCTTCGAAAACTTTTGACGGGAAAAAAATTTCATCAAAATTCTTTACGGAATTCAAATTCCGTCGAAAGTTTTCGACGGAAACATTTTCGTTAAACTTTTTGACAAAAAAATTTCCGTCGAAATTTTTAACGAAACACATTTCCATCAAAAAAATTTGACGAAAAATATTTCCGTCAAGTTTTTTGATAAAAAACATTTCTATCAAAATTTTCAATGGAACACATTTCTATGAAAAAGTTTCGTAAAAATTTTATGACGAACAAGATTTCGATAAAAATTTTTGACAAAAATGTTTTTCGTCAAAATGTTTTATAAAAAATATTTTTCGTCAACAAATTTGAGGGAAATGATTGGAGGGAATTTAGATTCCGTAAAGAACTTTGACAAAAAAAATTTCCGTCGGAATTTTTTATAGAAATATTTTCTGTCAAAAAAAATTACGTAAATATTTTTGGTCAAAATTTTCGTTGTAAATGTGTTTTGTTGGAAATATGATTCGTCAAAAATTTTGAAAGAAATATTTTCATTAAAAAATTTTGACGAAATTATTTTCTGTCAATTTTTTTTATGAAAATGTGTTTCGTCAAAATTTTTTACAGAATTATTTTTCGTTGAAAAGTTTGACAGAATTGTTTCTGTCGAAAGTCTCGACGGAATTTAGATTCTATCAAGAATTTTGACTGAAATATTTTGTCCCTCAAAAATTTATGTCAGTGATTATGACAAAATCTTGTTTCGTCTCTAGTTTTGACGGATTTTTTTTTGTCTATATTTTTTACGTAATATGATTTTTGTCAAAAAATTTGACGAAATATTTTTCTTCGATAAATTTTGTTAGTATTTGAAACTTTTCTAATATTGTCACATTTAAAAATGATTCATATTTATGTAATTTTCACATTTTAATGTTAAGGATAAAAGATAATACTTATTTGTTCTTTAATTGTAAAATAGTTTGGTTATGGATAACCATGGATAACTAATTATTTTTATGGTTTGATAAATAATCAGTTTATAAAATAAAACGTAGTTTCATATAAAACCGGTTTTTAAAAATAACCGATTTTTAAAATGTGGAGCAATTTGGTTATGGATCGGTTTAATTCTTTTAGACATTTCAAACACCCCTAACCCAAATCGTCGATAGTTTAACCGGGCCCTCTTGTCATGGACTTCAGTTAAACACAATTGTATATACTCAACACGACCCAATATTCCAATAGATGCTAAACTCAATTCAATTTTATCACAGAATAGGCTTTGTAAATGACCAATTGGAAAATTTAATTGTTTTAAAAATATTGAAATTAATTGTAGAAAATAAAAATAGTATATTTATTTTCATATATTAAGAATGTCATCAATTCCTTCATTTATGGAAATCAGTCAATTATGATCCGTTTTGCCCTTAATTAGAATTAATTAAGATTGATTCTGTTTCCTTATTTTCCCCGCATGGAATGCTTCAAGTCAATGCAACTATTATTTTCACACTAATAATTAATGTAGCTAACATAAAAAAATTAAATATGTGCGGAATAGCTTAAAATAACAAAGCTTGATATATGTGAGTAGTTTTATTTTCTCTCCTTGTTTGTATTCTTTTATCTTTTAATGTATTTAAAAAAATTAAAAAAAATCGGTAACACTGCCCCTGAACCCCACCACTAAATATGCAGACATAAATAAAATTTTCTAGGTCCGTCACTGCTTTTATCTAGTACTTTTACAAAGATATTATTAACTAAAATGTGAGAGTGCTTCAGCAGTTACTTGTTACCAGCAGTTGAATCTCGTTTAAATCAGTCGGCAAAGATGTCAACTTCAACTCTTCTAATTTTTGAATAACCAAAACAAAGTTAGAACAATCATCATGATTCTGGTCAAAACCTCCCAAAGTAAATATGATGTTTGGCTTTGGTTAGACACAGGGATGGAGAAACACACTTTGTCAATGATTCACTTAGACAAGAAAATTATGCGAATATTATATCCTAAATACACGGCACATCCTCTTCAATCAAGCTGATTGATTAGTTTCATGATTAAGAATTATTTTATTTTTTTCATAACTACATAATTAATAGCTTAATTTTCCAGCTCCAATTATATATATATATATAAAAAAATGTGAACATTTTTGGGAGGAGTTTAAAGCCTTAATTCTGGACTCGCCCCGAATCGGACTAGTCAGGAACCGATGAACCGATGGAGTATTTTTAAAAAAAAACGTGAAAACAAACAGATCTACGGACCAATGGTGCCATGCGTGCAGTGTAATAAGTACCCACTTCGATTTCACACAAGAAAATTGCAACTTTGCACACTTCTTGGGCATAAAGAAACTATATACTGAGGACATGAATGGCAAGATAAAAGAAAGTAGAAGAAAATAAGAGAGATTGACAAACTAAAATAACACATTTAAGAACATACGAAAACGTTTTTAATTCAATTCATTGTTAATGGTAGGAAGCAGTAAGAGTCATTCACTACCTCAATAACAAGGCGGCAAATACACAATGTGTACTTTGCTGTACAAATTAAGCAAAAAAGATTAAAGTAATCAAAATGTGGCGTTAACTGTTAGGCACCACCAACCATAGTAAGCCTTCAAATAATCCAGCCAAGAAAAAAAAAAGGTATACTTGAGTTTATTTAATAAAAAAAAAGAATTTCGGAATTATGACGTCAGCTAGGCGTCAAGAGCGAAAGGAGTCTCCAAAAGATCATAAGGAGCCCATAAAGCATCCAAAGGGCAAGGCCTGTTTGCGTCGAGCCTGGCCCACGGTTTGCCCTTTCCACTCCAATGCATCAGGCTCACTGGGCCCGGATGCAAGTCCCGGCAAAGCCCACGGAAGTTGTCCCCGCCGAGCCCGTGCTGGTTCCACCGGTGATCAACTTGAGCAATTTTTCCGGCGAAAACCAACAGAAACGGCGGCAGAGATCCCAGCTCGTAGATACGCATTCTCTTCTGGAGCTCCATCCACTCCTCGATCATCGTCGTGTAGTCACCGGCGCGCCACCGCTCGAGGTCGATGACCATCACGCCGGTGTTGAAGTAGCATGCCCTGCGGTTCGCGAAGGTGAGGGACAGAGAAGGGTTGGACCAGAACGAAGGCGTGAAGTAGGCGGTGAAGTTGGCGGTGCAATACTCAGGGGCGGCGAGGACGGCGTCGGAGCCGAGCGATGTGGCGGCGAGCTTGGCAATGTCGTCGACGAGGACCAAGTCGGAGTCAAGGTAAACGATTTTGGTGACGCATGGAGGGAGAAGGTTAGCGAGGTAGCTTCGCGCATAGTTTAGGGGGCAGTCCAAGGCGGAGCGAATGGAGGTGGAGATAAAGCCGGCGACGGCGACGTCGTCGAAGGGGTAGATTTGGAACTTGAGGTAAGGGAAGGAGGCGGCGAGAGTGCGGTTGAGGAGGACGGCGGAGGAAGGTTTGGATGCGGCGGAGATGAAGTGGAAGATGATGTTTTCAGGACAGGAGGAGTGTTGGAGCACGGAGAGGATCGCCGCCATGGAGCCGCGGAGGTAAGCGACGTCGAGGGTCATGGTCACGTGAACAGCATTTGGGTAGCACGTGTCATTTGGGTGGCGGGGAATGGTGTTGCAGGTTGGGGAGTTGTAGAATTTTGGTGCTTCCTTGAAGCATTGAGTGGTGACTGTGCATGAGGTGCTTGTGGAGAAAATTAACACACAGGAGAATATGAAGAAGAAGGTGTTAGTGATGGAGGAATGTTTTGACACGGTTTCCATTGATGGCGATTTGAGGATGAGAGTGAGAGAGATGGAAGGGTTTATGTAAAACATTTGAAGAAGCAGAAATGAGAAAGATGACAGAGGGAAGAATAGGAAGGTGGAAGTGTGAGAGAAGAGAACACAGTTACAATGCTATTTTATGTTTTTCTGTGAGAGGGTTTTCATTTTTCAACCCATGTTGGTTCAAAACAAGAGCTGCCCCAAACATAAGTCAATGATCTTATATTTTGTCTTGGAAATATTTTTTTGTTATATAATTTAATGTGATTATTATTTTGTTTTTTCCTTATTTGAAACAAAAGTAAATTCGCATTATGTTGGTTTCTCTTTCTGGTTTTTTTCCATTGAGAAATACAGGTGACGGTGTAAAGTCAATTATGTACCCAACAAAATGTCAAAGCTATATTTGTTAAAACTGCAACTATTTAAATCTGACAATATTACTATTAGAGGCAACTCATCATAGAAATATTCTCGTACGCTCTCCACAACAAGCCTACAAAACTTTTGGATGTACGTGGTTTTTGCAAGTGTATAAGTGATATTCAACATTCAAAGGTGGATATGCTCCATAGAAAATATTATAATGAATCTGGTTATTTAACATGATCATACGAGATGATTTTAATTACTAATAAATAAATTAATGGTAATAATTTTGTAACTCTATCCTAATATGTTTTTTCTTTGTCTTCTCTTATTATTATTAATTCGCTATTGTATAATTAAAATTCTTACATATGATATTATTATGTTAAATAACACAATCCACTCGGCATGTCTGCAGTTTCCACTTGTCAATTGTCATAAGCCAAAGGAAATATAATAGCGATTCCTTTTCCATTTAACTTAGTCATTATAAAGGTGATTTTAAGTTTCGTCGTTTTGATTAATTTTCTGTAGTTGAGCCATCCACGTCTGGCGAGCAGCATTCATACATGCATAATTGCATCTCAAACAAATAATAGCGGCTACTTATCAGAATCAGGTAAGATTAGTTGTGCAATTGAAACTGAAATTGAATGGAGATCAATCCAATTATATCTTTTTAATTAGTAATGAATTAATGATTTTGCACAAGAAAAAAGTATGTCTAGTTAAAAACTTTTATTTAAAAAAAAAAACTAATTTTGTCTAGCACTTTTCATTAGTAACACCTCGCTTTAGTTGGATTGTAATTTATTTTGAAAATTATCATCTAAATCTAATTAAGATAAACTCTAGTATGAATTATTTAATACAATTCATACATATTAAACTAAAAGATTTGACGTTGAACGAGATCAATATAAAATTGATTAAAAATAAATAAAACTAATTACATACAGATATTTATACATTTTATATAAACATTGAGTCTTACCGGTGACGAGTTTTTTTATTCTGATTGGTTCGGAAGAGCGAGTATCATAGTAAGATAATTGACCACGGGATCTTGCTAGCTAATAGCTACTATAATCGTAATTAAGATAATTTAATATCTTAAATAGTTAGATTTTTTTTAGGGCAAAGGTACATATTTTTTTAAATTTAAGTTAATTTAATTGTTTTAATATAAAAATAATATTAAAGGCATAATAATTTGAAGAACTAAACGAGAGTGACAATAATAAAAATTACTATAAAACATTCCAAATTAAGATATTAAAAACGTGATGTGTGTTTAAGTCTAATGTGAAAGAATTAAATAAATGTTGGAATTTGATTAAACATGTGATCACGAACTTGTCCAATTGGCCGGTCGAAAAACAACTGCTAAGGCTGGCCACGTTGCGTGGGGATGGGTCCAGCTAAATATGAAACTTCATGTGAAAAAAGAAAAAAAAAGTTTAACGTTTCTTATGTTATAGAAGAAAAATTATCTTCTATACACATACACATATAAAAGTGTATCAGGTCCATGTGAGAAAAATAAAGAGAAAAAGAAAATATAGGCACCATACATTTTTATCTATATGTAAAAGATAATTTTATTTCCACCCAATGGGTGCAGCTCAGTTGGTAACTTGGTGCTGAGTTAGTGGGGTTGGATATGTGTTCGATTCCCGCTGAATGCATTCTTGGGGAGGGGGCTGAACATTTAGCCATCACTGTTCCCCCGCACTCTGGATTAGTCCCATAGCCGGCTCAAAGAGTCGAAGCTCGTGGGGATACCGGAGGGAGCCAACTCGTCTCAAAGAGATAATTAGGGTTGGGTAACTCCAAAAAAAAAAAAAAAGATAATTTTATTTCCTACAACATAAAAGACATTAAACCCAAAGAAAAATGTGTTGGTTATTACTATTTATTATTAAGTGAAATATCAAACACCACTAAATAAATCCACTCTCTGTTAATAGAGATAGGAATATGACTTCATCCAATAATAAAAAAAATATCAAAATAAAATATGAAAGAGTGTATTTTTGTTATTTTTCATGCAAGCAACCTTTTGTTAAAATGGAATATTCTATATGTTGAATATTCTATATGTTGAATATTCAAGTGTGATGAGTCTCACATAGATTGATAATGGGCTAAATGAAGTGGATGGACCCATGAACCCAGTACCTTAAGGTTTTGAGTTGAGATACGTACAGTGTCAAGCTCACTTGTTGTGGTTGGTCCATCTTAACCTATTGGTGACAATCCTCCGTCATGGGCTCCTTCTGGACCCGCCTGACAATGGTATTATAGTCAGGTTGTGCTCGAGCTAGCTAGGTGTTTGGCTAGGAGACATGTTAAGTACTTTGGCCCGAGGTACTCGGTTGAAAGGGAGCATACCAATGGTGAGTTTCACACTTGAGGGGGAGATTATTCAGATATTCATGTGTGATAAGTACAACATTGGTTGATAATGGGCTAAGTGAAGTGGATATAAGTGGATGTACCCATCCCAATACTTTAAGGTTTTGGGTTGTGATATGATGTCAGATCCACTTGGTGTGGATGGTTTAGCTTAGCCCATTAATTATGGTTCCCTACCACGGACTCCTCCTAGACCAGCACGATAGATCAATTGTAAGAATTCTCCCAATATCCTATGGTGAAAACCATCACTGCAAACCCTCAGATACATCATATTGGATCATTGAGGAATCAAAAAGGAATTAAAGCGTACTTGATTCCATCGCAACGACTGTAGTTTCTTGATGCCTTTAAATTTTGGGATTGATAGTCTTCCTCATTCAAATCACTAGAATGTCGAATCCTTATGCGGAAGTTCTCAATTGAAGGGGAGGAAAAAATCATCTAACTGATTTGACATATTGGGGACCATAACCCTTTTTCCTGATTTCTTATCATTAGGCCCACCAGGCTCCCATTATACCTTGTTAGGCCAATGTGGGTATCCACTTATTTAACTCATACTCATTTTGAAATCTAATTGGGTTCCTGAACAAATCACGTAATTTACCCAATAATTAAATAGCATGATATAATTGACAATTAAATATATAGCCCACAATAATGTAGAAAATAAAATTTTCTAACAATCTCTCACTCGGGCTACATATGAACCTGAAACAATTATATCGTATGTTCTTTAGCGTGCATCTGTATGCTATTGATCTTTATATTTCACTTTAGGTACAATCTAGTCCATCTTCTATATCAATATGAGATCATGGTGGCTTTCGTCACTTTCAAAACGTAACTAAACCTACCATGGTCATCATCCCAATATAGTTAGTGACATAGATCAAGTACAGATGAGTGACATGAAAATTACATGCAATGTGATCTTTATCATGCCTATTTCCAATTGGTCCTGCTCTAATCCTTATAAGATCAATTCATAGTTTCCTATACCAAATGCAAAACCGCAAATAGAAAACAAAATACATTCAGAGGGAATAAACATATCCTTTTTTCTACAGAAATCAAACAAAAAATGTTTTAACACATAGAACACCCAAATGAACTCCACTAAACCTTAGTGTCCTAAAATAAAATAACACTCATATGAGCAATGTGCTCATGAAAGACCTTTTTGTCAATTGATTCGCAAGCATGAAGTTTTCCCCCAATGTGTTCTATAGAAATTTGACCACTCTGAATGCTTTCCTTAACAACCAGAAACTTAATATCAATACGCTTTTATTTTGAGGAGCTTATGTTGTTATTGGAATATAATACCGTTGATTTATTGTCACAATATAACTTTAATAGTCTTTCAATACCGTTAACCATACGCAGCCCTGTTACAAAATTTCACAACCATATCCCATGACTGGATATCTCAGAACAAGCTATGAATTCTTCTGCCATGGTATATAAAGCTATTGTGCCTATTTGGCACTCTTTTAAGAAATAGCTCATTCTTCCAACATGTAAACATAGCCTGAGGTAGATTGCCTATTGTCTTGGCATCAAGCGAAATCAGAATCAGTATATCCAATGATCTCTAGTCTGTCTGGCCTCCAATAGGTGAGCATGCAATCCTTCGTTCTCTTTAAAAAAATGCACAACCACTTACATCCATGTCATAGCAAAATGCACATATATTACATTAACAAACAATCCAAAGCAAAGTGGGCCCATTTACAAGATACCTAGCACAATATCGACATTTGATCTTTGGACCAAAAATATCAATTTGTAAGTGGTACTCTCAACGCAACAATCAAATATTGACAATAAATCCTATCAAACTATAGCCTTCCTTTGGGCCGACTATTGCTCACATGGAAAATTTTTAAAATCGTCACATATTTATTACCACATGTATATATATATATATTATTTGGCCAAATAATAACCTTCCTTTGAGCTGATGATTATTCTCATAAAGAATAAATATACTCATTTTTATAACTTATAATAAATTATTATCCACAACAGAGGTTACTTTGGCAGCAATATTGTTTCAACTACTTTATTATAAAATACAAGACAATCAAAAGCAATAATAATTAAATAAAATAAACATAAACCAAAGGTTTATTTTA